CTAAACTGGGAAAAATGTACACATGTTTGGCTATACACACAGTTTTGTAAAGAAGGAGATACACACACACACATGCACAGAGGCATATATTTCCATATGTATATGTACATATGTGTGTGTATATATTATATAAGGCCCAATTCAGAGTTTCTAGCAAAACAAAATAATACATAAATATGTAAAAATAATACATACATATGTAAAACTAATACATACATGTGTAAAATAATATAGTGAGAACTAGTAATATAAAATCACTAATGCATTAGAGAAATATTTATCATAAAATTTCGCTATATATTTGAATGTTATATTTTGCCGATTTTTGCAACTATAGATATAGAGGGCAAGATAAAATATAGAAAAGCAGAAAGCATTGTATTCAACAAATTTGATTTATTCCTAATTCTGTCTCTTCTGTTTGACTTCAAGCAAGCTAGTTAATTCCCCTAAACCTCAGCTTCCTCGTTGCTGTCATGGGAGTAATCCTTCTTATTTTATGGAGTTGTTGAAGCTTTAAGTGAGTCTAAAAAATAAATTACTTAATCCAATGCCTAACGCTAAATAAGTAATGTGCATTATTATTATTATCAGCTAATTTTAATCCTGTGATTGTCTTTTTAGTCAAGTAAGGATTAGATTTTGGTAAATAGGCCTAGACTCCCTCCTGACTCCACAGAAGATATCATGTACTTAAAATTACAAGTTCTTGGAAAAGCTAAAAGAAGTTACGCTTGTTTTTTTCCCGAAGGAATTTGTGTCTAGGGTGAGCTGAGTCTTTTCGATTATAGACCATATTTACAACATTTCCTGAGAATCCCTTGCATTGAAGAGGTTCACAGAGGCAGGAAGGACAAAAAATAAGACATGCAATGCTTCAGATATTAAGTCTGGGTGTTGAATGGCCCCCAAAGGCACATGTTTTAAAGGTTTGTTCCCCAAAGCCCTATGTTAATAGCACTAAGAGGGTGGAAATTTTGTCCAATTATGGTGTTGGGAGGTGGGGTCTTTGAGAGGTGATTGGATTAAGTCATTAGGATGAGGCTCCATGGTTATGTGCTAGTGGCTTTATGAAAGTCTACATAGACACAGAGATAGAGAGACAGACATACACACTCACTCTCACTATAAGACGCTCTGCACTGCCTTGGGTTTCTGCTAACACCATCAGCAAAGGCCCAGCCAGTGGGACTTGCCTGGTCTTGGACTGGGTTATTTGTTCAAAACCATGAACCCAAATAAACCCTTTTCCTTTCTAAATTGCTTGTCTCACGTATTTCACTATAGTAGTGAAAAGCTGAGTAATGCAAAGGGATTTATTTCTTCTTTGGTTATTGTTAAATAATTATAGAGAGTAAGGGTAATAAATTTTTCCTTTGTTGTAACATCTCTATCTCATTTCTTAGTATAGAAAATACTTTCTTAAGCCTTACAAATACAACATGATCTTTCTTAAGCCTTACAAATACAACCCACCCCTCAACACATCCACTCCCAAATCCTGTGCATTCTAATTAACACTGTCCTCATTTTCATCTGAGGGAACAGAATCAGAGGGGTCACATACCTTATTAAACATTTTACACATATGCTCTTGGGGCAAGACCTAGCATTTAAATTTAGGACATTCATTCTGAGTTCAATACACTCCCTACTTGTACTAGTTTTCTATTGATACCATAACAAATTACCACAGACTTAGTAGCTTAAAATCATAAAGTTATTATCTCACAATTACGGAAGGTCACATGTCTGGGTACAACATGGCCAAGGCCCAAAATCAAGGTGTTGGCAGGGCTGCCTCCGTTTTTGAAGTCTCTTCCAGACTCATTTAGATTTGTTGGCAGAATCCACTTCAATCTGATATTAAAAGCAAGGTCCCCATTTCCCAGTGGTTGTGAATGGGAATTGTTTTCAGTTTTGAGAGGCACCGCGTTTCCTGGCTCAGGGGCCTCATAAAGCCAGCAACAAGGGGTTGAATCCCTCTCCTCCTTCACATCTGTCTGATAGTGCCATCTGCTTTTTCATGTGTCTAGGTGACTCTTCAGCATTCCTCCTCTGATGTTAAGGGCTCAGTGGCTACACTGGGTTCACCCAGATAATCCAAGATAATCTTTTAAAGTAAGCAATTAGTAATCTTTATTCCATCTGTAAAGTGTCTTTTCCTAGAGGGGATAGAAATCGGGAGGGAGCCATCTCTGGAATCCTGCCTCCCAGCTTTAGCATGCTGATACACCATTTGGGAGGTCACAGGTCAGTGGGAGTGACTGCCAATCCAGTAGGTTTTCCTTAAAAACAGAGATAGGACAAGCATACAAAATAGTGGAGTAAGACTCCGAATGCTTGAGTGACAGCTCAATTGCCACAAAGAAGAAACACAAACCCTTTTTCTCTGTGATGTCGTGGAGGATCAGAACCCCAAAGATGGTCAGTTATGGGTATGGTTTCACCAAACCAGAGGGACTGGTGAGGGGTTGAACTTTTGGAAGGAGTCTGTGTAGGGCACCCTATGGGTGTTTTAGCTCTTGATATTCTCTACTTGCTAAGTCTTCTATGCACACATACGCTACAAACTCCCTTCCTGTTACTTTAATGCAGTTATAGCCTTCTTTCCTGATTAAAATATATTTACCCTTTGCTTTATACTGAAAAGAATAGCTGGTCATTTTCTGTACTTTTGAGAATATAGTCACATTTGATCATTTAAAAAAACAAGCAGCTGATCTGTAGCTTTTGTTTTTACTTTTTAAATTTATTCATACTTTGCCTTCCATTAAATTTCTATTTTAGGGTCAATCTGATTTATTAATTCTTGCTTCCAATATTTTCTTAATTTTTAACCAAAGTTCATGTAGACCATATGGTATTCCAAGTCCTAGCTTGAGTGTGTCCCCTCAGGGAGAGATTTTAGATAGCATAATCCAGTTCACAATGTGCCTTTTATCTTCTGAATACTTGGGAGAAAACCAGTAGCAGTGCTATCTTACCAACTATGTATAAAAAGTTACTTTCCTTGATTCTCACTATAGATATGGACAGAAGATAGGTTACTGTCACTTCTCTAAGTTCACTTTTGTTAAACATATGAAGAAAAAGAGGTTTAGGAAGTTAAATAATTTGCTCACCTGCATAGCCCATAGGAAGCAGGGCTGAGTCTTCTGAACTCGGGTTTAATGTTCATCTGTTTCCCTGCTCCTTGTCACAGCACTCAGGGACCACCTGTCAGCCTGCTTCTGATGTTTCATCTGTTACCCACCAGGCCTCTGAAGACTGGCCCTTGACCGAGGCTGACTCTGTACAACCTAGCTCCTAACATTTCCTGAGAGATTTCTAACATCCATGAGGATGTCCCATCCAGTAGCCAATATTCGTATGTCCTTGGTCTTCTTTATACCAATAACCTTATACATTTGCTAAATATCAGTCACCCACTTCCACCTTTTAGCTATTATGAATAGTGCTTCTATGAACGTGGGTCTGCAGATATCTGTTCAGGTCCCTGCTCTCATTTCTTTGGGCTATGTGCTCAGAAGTAGAATCCCAAAAGCTAAATTTTTATACTTGATGCTGATTGAATATCCCCAATCCTGCATTTGTGAACTTCAATTTCTGAGCCCAAGTCAAAGACTTGCCTACAGAGCTAACATGTTTACAAATTATTCTCATCATGTCAACCCATTGAGATAATTATGCCTATTTAAGCCTAATTATCGTGCAACACAATACTGATCATTTATGTCATCCTCCAGTGCAGAGTTTGTTTCTTATAAAGCATGGTTACTATTCCACAGGTTATGTCAATTCGCAGGAACTCTGATGAATAAATCAGAGGCAGCCTTGCTCCCACTCACTTAACATCCTCTTCCCCATGCCAATTCCACCCTTGTGAATCTCTGCACTCTTCTGAGTTTTCTTCCACATTGAGGGCAGCCCCTGGTACCCTGGGATAAGGGTGAGGCAGCGGTTCACCCTATTTGGGAACATTTAGAATGCTTCTGATTCTTCATTATTTCATAAATGTGTATCACATGCGTGCATGTATCGATGTTTATGGACAACTTACATAGAACCCGTGGCCTCTCCGACTGTTTTTTTTCTGGGACACCCCACCCAGGACATGTATACTCTTTCAAGGCTCTGAAACAGCGCCGAATTACCTTTCCAGAAAGGGGACACAATTTTTAACTCAATAAGGCTCTCACGCCCTTAAAAAGAAACGCTCGGGGGAAGCTGTTTCTTGTAGTAACTGACCCACTGGAAACTTTCTTTACGGTAAAACCCAAGGTCACATCTTAAAGAATCAGAGTTCAGAACCAGGGCCTCCCTCAGGTCCTCCTAGGGAGGGGGATGCGTGGGTGGGAGGAGACTTCTGGCATCCAAGGAGGCTCTGGCACCAGGCTGCTCCACTGTCTGGCCAATGAGACAGAGAAGGCAAGTGTCCCGGCGCTGCTTTGGGGGTTGACAGGGAGGAAATACGTGGGGAAGCGAGAGTAGCTGGCACTAGGGGCTTGGTCCGCGGGCGCATTGACCCGAGATTTCCCACCCTCCTCTCCCGGAGCAGTTTGCTGGGGTTCGGTTCCTGGCCCCCAAAAAGGAGCGGGAGTAGCCCGAGGCGGCCGGGCAGAGAGAGGGTCTGGCTTCACCGAGTCCCCGGCTCACCCCTTGCGAGCGGGCGTGGGGCGGGCGAGTCTCCTCGGCCCGGCGCTCGGGCCAAGTTTGCGCGCCGACTCTCGGGTTACCTGAGCCGGCAACCACGTCAGCGCCACATCATCTGGGCTTTTTATATTGCGAGGAAACAGGAAAAGAAGGAAGAAAAACAGCGCCGGAGGGAGCCAATCGCTGGGAGACGCCCGGAGGAGCGTGGCGGGCGGGCGAGCGCGCAGGACAGCAGGCGGCGGGCCGGGCCGAGCCGGGGCGCGAGCGGCGGGCGGGAGGGGGTGGCAGGCCGCGCTCCGGCCGGTCTGCGGCGTAGGCTTCGGCTTTGGCATTGGCGGCGGCGGTGGCGAAGATGCTGCAGTCCCTGGCCGGCAGCTCGTGCGTGCGCCTGGTGGAGCGGCACCGCTCGGCCTGGTGCTTCGGGTTCCTGGTTCTCGGCTATCTGCTCTACCTGGTATTCGGTGCCGTGGTCTTCTCCTCGGTGGAGCTGCCCTACGAGGACCTGCTGCGCCAGGAGCTGCGCAAGCTGAAGCGGCGTTTCGTGGAGGAGCACGAGTGCCTGTCGGAGCAGCAGCTCGAACAGTTCCTGGGCCGGGTACTGGAGGCCAACAACTACGGCGTGTCGGTGCGCAGCAACGCCTCGGGCAACTGGAACTGGGACTTCGCTTCCGCGCTCTTCTTCGCCAGCACCGTGCTGTCCACCACAGGTAGGCGGCCGCCGCAGGCCCCCCAGAACGCCACCTCGCCCCACAACCCCTGTCCCAGCTCCCCTGGCCCGCCTGTCGCCTGAGAGCACCTGCCCCTAGAGTGCCCCCGGCTCTCCATCCCTCCAACCCCTAGGGCGCTTCAGGCCCCTCCAGCCCACTCCCAGGTTCCCAGGTCCCTCCCCGGGTCCCTGCTGCAGTGACTCGGGAAGGGCAGGTGCTGCGAGCCGGAAACCACGAGGTGGACGCGGAACAGGACTTGGGTGTTGCCGCTCGTAACTCTTGGGAAGTGGTCCCTACGCCCTTCCGTCTGGGCGGCCGCAGGTGCCTCCTGCCGCCGGATACCCTACGCCGGGCCTTGGAGTTTGGATCTATAGCCCCTTGGCAGCCAAGCGCAGCTAGTGGGCTGGGAAACACCGGCCAGTGCTCGCTGGCGCTCACCCTCCTCCTGCCCTGGTTCAGGAGGGCCCCTGCGGCCGCAGAGTCTGAGGACACTATGCTTACGGGTCACCTTCCCAAGGGTGACCTCTCTTGCGCTCAAGCGTACCTATTTCGGTTCTTTTGTGCCCGGTAGGCAGTTTGGGGTAGCCGGGTGACATCACTGGGCCCTTGGCGCGTGACCTCTGAGCTCACCGGTCGATCGGGTTTCTTTTCAGAGTAGGACGGGTGGGGAGAGGAGAGGCGAGGGAACATCGATGGCCTGTGATCTGCCAAAATGCGGGCACCCTGGTTCAGCGGGTGTTTCAACTTTTAAGTGTGCGAGGAGGCTGGCGGGTGAACTTGGAAGCGGCAGCCGCAGGACGCTCAGGAAGGGAGGCGCGTCCCGGCGTGAAGGAGAAGAGGCGCCTGCCACAGGGCGCCGACCCTGCCCGGTGAGGTGAACCGAGGCCCGGGTTCCCTGGCTGTGGCTTGCCAGGCTTCTACACCTGGACGGAGGCGCCGGGCGAGCCTCCGGCACAGTCCCTTCTTGCATCCGTGAGATCCAGTCCTTACAATGGCCCGTCTTGGTGTGCACAAGGTCACACACATCTTCCTTACCCATGTACTCCCGGCGTCTGGGCCTTGGGAGTTCCCTGCCTGGAACACATTGTAACCCCTCCATCTGCCTCCACCCTTCCAGGTGATTCAACAAACCCTTTGGTTAGGACTAGGACACTTCCTGGATTATCGCCTCTTGTCCACCTCCTGGGGTTCATTTGCTTATAATCCTCTTTGGGCTATACCTAGTTGCTTGCTTTGGTAATCATTTGGTGATGAGTAATAATACAGTAGATGACATAAAACAATTATTCGTGAGTCTGGGGTGAATTACTAAGCCGATGTGAATTTTTCCTAAAATAGAAGTGTAATTCTAGCTTGCTATTGTGATGTTTTTAAAACTGTGTTTAAGGTATCCTTAAACAAGACAGACCTGTTACCTCACTTCCCAAAGAATGTGTACTCTTTTGCCAAATTCTGTCTCTGTTGTCTTTCTCTAGCTCTGTTTTCAGACCGCTTAGAAGTTGCCATGCCTTTCTTTTGGTTCATGTCTGTGCTAGATTGAGACTCATTCATTCTTCCCAGAAGTGAGAGTCTCCACTGGGCTGCTGAATGTTTACAGCCAGGTCACAGTGTTGGGTAAACATTTTGAACAACGATGACAGCTTTTAGTGTTTTCTTAGTAATGGTATTTTGAAGATGGAACAGGAATAGAACAGTGCTAGGTAGTGCACTGTTGAGTGTTGCTATCACTGATGATGCTCATATACTGTCATCAGTGTGGACCTAGTTCAGTGTCAAAAATGAATTTGATTTTGATAATCCCCCCCCCCTTTTAAATTAACAAAAATGTAGCTGCTGTAAAAATGGAGGTAGGGATAAATGTCTTATTATTGGTATGCAGTTTACATTGTAGTTCCTAAGAAAGTCTGCATTCATGCAAAACAAGAGGTCATTTAGGAAATCAGGGCAAGGGACATGTAAGGATAGACTAACTGAAAAAGGTGCCTTTTGGTTTGTACAACTAGTGGGTCAATAAGCTGTTGTTATATGAATAAAAGTAGTCTGAATGAAAGATACTCTCCTATTAGTTTTGTACTCATCCATTATTTGACTAAGTTGAGATTCTTTGGTCTCAAAACACTGATTCTGTGCCAGAAGTTCAGACAATTTTTAGAGCAAAGCTGATAGACTTAATTACTAAGGAAAAAAATGTCCTGGAAAAGGACATTGTTTTATGTGAACTGAAATGTATTGGAATCGCTTTTATTTTTTCAGGTGGCTATTAGCCATGTGTTTTTAAATTGCCTTTAAAACTCTTCTCATCCCATTGGTGCTGAGTCGCTGAGACAGTTGTGAGTGCATCAGCATAATCCATCCTTGACTTGTCTAGGACAGCATTGATGGGCATTATAAAGACAGTGTTCTTGGAAGTCATCCTATAACAGGTGCATGCGCACATTTACGTCAAAATGTGTTTTTCACTCTCAGAAAGTGCAAGTTTCCATTTCTGGAAGTCACAGGGTGAAGTCTTCATGGTCTGTTTGGAAAGAGACTTAGATTGGCAGTTTCACCAATGCTCCCTTCATTCTCTCCTCATCCAAGGCCAGCAAACAATTTAACATCTCTTTACTTCCCCTTGTAGGGGAGAAAGGATGACTTTTTTTTTTAATGATTTATTTATTATTTGAAAGGCAGAAATACAGAGAGAGAAGGAGGGAGAGAGAGATCTTCCATCTGCTGGTTCACTCCCCAATTGGCTGCAAAGGCCAGGGCTGGGTCAGACTGAAGCCAGGAGCCAGGAGCTTCATTGGGGTCTTCCGAGCACTTGGTCCATGTTCCGCTGCTATCCCAGGCACATTAGCAGAGAGCTGGATTGGAAGTGGAGCAGCCAGGACTTGAACCGGCCCCCATATGGGATGCCAGCACTGCAGGCAGAGGCTTAACCTTCCACACCACAGTGCCAGCCCTAAAAGATGTCTTTTCTCACCATTCCAAGGTCCATGGCTGCTGACACACTTATGATTAAAGGCAAATTAAGAACAGAGAATCATACACATCTATTTAATACTAGTTTTACTGACACAGGACCCTTCAGAAATGGATAAGGACATTCCCTCCCTCCAGGTACAGGGTAGGGGTGCATGTCTCTGCAATGAGAGTCTTCATCTTAGGGAGGTCAGAAGATTCTTTTCTGATTTCCTTCAAGGGAGAAGAGTGAGGAGGTGGCCATGATCTGTCTGCTCCTACTGTTTCCTTAAATGCCAAGGTGCCAGATTTGGAATAGCATATCCAGAACTCTATCACCATTGATTTAAAAAGAAGACATAGTGACATGAACATAGGGATCATATAAGAGTGGAAGAAAGAGTGCAGTGCACTTTTGAGCTTCTTACAGAGAAGGTTGCATAAATGTAAAAGGAGATATAATAGACTCTTGTATTTCCCACATAACTTATATTAAGATAATTTTCCTTAAAGATCAAGGAAATAAGGTCTCCATGATACTTGAGGAGTAAGATTTTTTCAAATTAAAGTTATCTTATAATAGAGTTCTAAAACTTTGAGCAATGTCATTCATTCTTAACAATTTGCAATGTTGGTTTACTGTAAGCTTACTTTTTATTCATCCTGTCTAAGCAAGGCCATGGCATAATGATGGATGTTTGGTAAAATACAGTTTTTGTATCTGTACAATTTAGAAGCTGTCACTACTTGTCCCTGCTTTGTAAATGGGAACCACATGACAGCTTAGTGCTTGTTTTCTTTCATCTGTAGCCATGGTGCCTTTAGTCAGGAAGCCGCCTAGCCCTGTTTGTGAAGAGATGTTTTGAAACTCTTATTTCACGTATCCAGTAAGGGAACGTACTTGAGCTTGCTTTATTGTGATCTGTGACTTAGGCAGGTGAGGAGCTACTATAGCATTGGTAGTATTCCAAAACAGAACGTAGGAAATGGGGGAGGGGAGGCGAGGCAAGTTGCTGGGTTGGTCTTTAGTCTGCACCTTGTTTTCACTGGGAGAAATGTGTTATTACCATCAGCAAACAGTTGTTGAATGTTTAGAATGGAGCAGGGCAAATTACCACTCTTCTGCCTGACCTAACCCATCACCTGCTTTTGTGTAGCCTGGTTTCTATAGTTTTCAAATGGTGTGAAAAATAAAAACAAAAATACTGAGAGTGGACATTTGGCAGAGCAGCGAAGACACCACTTGGTATACCTGCATCTCTTATTGGAGTGTCTCTGTTCAAGTCTTGTCTCTGCTGCTGATTCCAGACTCCTGTTCATGCATACCTTGGGAGGCAGCAGGAGATGGTTCAAGTAGTTGGGTGCCTGTTATTCATGGGGGAGACCCAGATGGAGTTTCAGGCTCCTGGCTTCAGCCTGACCCAGCCCCAACTGTTGTGAGAATTGAGGGAGTAAGCTAGATGCTGGGAGATCTCTCTTTGTCTCTGTCTGCTCACTGCCTTTCAAATAAATAAATTAATAAATACTTTAAAAAATAAAATTCTATTTTCTAAAACATTCAAGTGTTATGAAAATCAGATTTCATAATTCATAAATAAGGTTTTGTTGGTATGCAACCATACTCATTCGTTTACGTTTGGTCTATGACTGCTATCTGGCTACAATGGCAGATTGAGTAGTTGTGACAGGAACCATGTGACCACTAAACCTAAAATATCTACCATCTGGTCCTTTATGGAAAAACTTCATCTGCATGAGAATGATTCATGCAAGGCACTTCAAGAGTAGTTCTGAGTTCTGTACTTGCATTTGGCACACTTTCTGTAAGACATTTTGGCTTCTCAGATTTCTTTGTGATGTTGGGTTAAGTGGTATGCAACATCTAAATTATGCATCACCACCAGCAACCACTTTCAAACAAACGGTTGTTTATTGTAGGATGCCCTTAGTTCTCTGTCAGTTTTACAACACTGCTTTTTTCTAATGGTGACAAAGCTACACTTTACTTTGATTTTCTAACTAAAATAAACAGTAAATTCCATATTATATCTGGAATA